AAATACTTTCGCATGCGGCTTACTCACCAGACTTGGCTCTGTCCGATTACTATTTATTTGCATCGATGGGACACGCACTTGCTAAGCAGCGCTTCACTTCTTACGAAAATGTACGAAAATGGCTCGATGACTGGTTTGCCTCAAAAGAGCAATAGTTTTTTTGGCGTGGCATCCACAAATTGTCAGACAAGTAGGAAAAATATATAACTAGCGATAGGTAATACTTCGAATAAAATATTTTTTATCATTTTCATACAATAAACGTGTATTTTCTATACAAAAATTCCGGTTTCATATTTACATACCTGGTATACTCTTTATTAATTGATATGGAATTTGATCATCAATTATGTACTTCAACACATCTAAAAGATTGTCATTCTGAAAAGTCAAATTACGTCATATCAAAAGTCAAATTACGTCTAACTTACTGCGTCCGATATTATTTTAAAATAATATTGTATTTTAAAATAGTATCATGAACTATTAAGTCAAATGTAGACGAAATATTGAAAAAGGATAATTATGCAGATTGCACCTCACTAATCAATAATCTTGAAATCGATGATAAGTTTATGTTTCTGATCTCTAAAATCTATAATAAAGATTCTTGGTGGTATTATTAAAAGGAATATCACCGATTTTCACTAATAATTTGTGAATGTTCATTAGTTCTCGATTGAAATATCCCCATTTTACTGTTGCATCTTATATCTCACTGATTTTGATCAGTGTGAGTAAGATTTAACTGCAAAATTTATAACACACAAATTCGTTATACGCTGTGCCAAATTCATGCAAGAAAAATACACTGATTATACCTTAGAGAATAACTTTAATAAGATTTTAGCTGTCTTGCTTTTTGTTTATTAAAAAGTTATTAACAAAAAAAGGAATATACCAGTTAATATTAGTGCTTAAAAGAGGATGTAATCATTGATTCAAAATTAAAGATCCAAATTTAATAAGTTATTTGTTATGAATTTTTATTTTTTAATATATATTTGTTTGAAAATTGAATTATAATATTCTACTACATTGAGAGAAAAAATATCTAAAAAATAGTATTTTTTAGTGGATACTAATAACATATTTACTCAAATTCTTTTATTTAAGTAAAATAAATAATTGCTTTCATAAGAAGCTAAGATTTTCTTAAGAGATTTGAATAAAATGTATATTTTCTTATTTGAAAAATATTTGAAAAATATTGTATATTAACCTAAGTAAATTATTATAAAGAGAATATACTCACCGAATATTTTTTACATATTTTTTTTGTAGGTATAATACATACATCAGACGCGTTTTAGTTTATAGAACTTTCTAAAACCTTTTGCTTTACTAAAGTGCATATGATGAGTCTATTTTATTCTGTACAATTACCGAAAGAAATTTCACACATTTCAAGCTAAATTTTATTACTTTATTCAGACATGAATTATATGTTCTTACTTTCACGTTGTAATATTCATTCGGCTTTTATCGCATAGAATGACCTGTACATTAAACAGAAACCTTTTATACATTGTTGATAGCTCACAAAAAGAAATACGTGAACGGCAAAATTAATTCCCATTGTTAATTCCTAAATTAATTCATATTGTTACTGCGGCAAAGTGATTCTATCAACGAAAATTCGAAATTCACCCAGTCCCGGACCACTAATTTCAGTATTGATTATACACCTGCCTTCTATCGATCGTCCAATTTAGCCGGCAGGAGTGCCGTACTAAGACGTCTATGGTCGGTACATAATGGGGCAAGTACGTGGCACGTAGTACGTGCCACGTAGCCGGCTTATCAGAGGCGCGCAGAGGGATGCCCAGGGCAGGCTTATCGACTCAGCGGCTTGACAGGCTTCCACGTCCTTTCCCACCTAGTAGGTGGAGCGTCGAAAGATGATGAGCGCCGATCGAAGGACCCCGAGGACCTTCAGCGGCTCTCTCGGGGGTGGGCATGCGGTAAGCCTCTATACGAAGTCGTTGATGCGTCGTGAGGTAAGAGGAGATAGCGCGGTCGGGCTACGCTGACCGATATTACGTGCTTAAGAAGCTCATGGCCGTTGGCCGATATGGCTACAGCAGTAAACAGAATCTCTCTCGTCGGCGACTCTCTACCCCTACCGACCAGAACGACTTAGCGCGAGCAAATATATATATATATATATATTCAGTCGCGATGGATCGGTAAAACGAAGGGAAAAAGAATTAGTCGGTCAAATATGGGGACCACCGTTTGGGCCTGGTAATCTCCCTAGCGGCGTTCGCGCGTCATCGGCTCGACAGGGAGCTGAAATCGGTTGGCGGTGTCAAAATCAAATTTCAGAAGGCTACGAGGGTGCGAATCCGTGCACTGGCTGAAATAAAGCTTCGGGACAATAAAGCGATCGCGATGCAGATTGAATTCGTTTGGAGATTACCGTCGGTTATTCGAAGTTATACATTGCACGAAATGCGCGAAAAATACGTTTGCTTTTCCGGCCTCTCATTCTCCATCAAGAGTTTCGAGAAATCTTTGGTTTCTGATTCCAGAGAATCTGTCAAGTGACACGCTTGGTTGGCCCACATGTCGTAGATATCGACAAGAAAGAAAGAAATAAATGATATATTTTCTTCTTTTCGTGGATGTGTGTGTAGTACTCACAGGTTGTAGTGCACGTCCGCCATGTTCGGTCGATAACGAAGCGCCTGGACGAAAGCTTCCTCCGCCTCGGCTACTCGCCCTTGCTCGCTGAGAATGCTGCCCAAGTTGCCATAAGCTGGAAGCGACATAGATCGTATTCGATTTCGCACTCTGCACTATTGGTTGGCGAAACATTAAACATTAATGGGCTCGGGTCGATATGACCGTGCGCAGGTATGGCTACATGACAAATGAACATATATACAAGTGTCACAGTGTTTTTAACGTACAGCACTGCGAATATATACTTAACAAATTCTAGCGGTTTCGGGAAAATTCGAGAAATGAGGCAGCGAAAAAGAGAACATTGTCGGTCTCGGTGCAGAAAATGATGCTACAATGGCCAACGTAAATATGTTAACGGATGGCAGACAGATGAATAAACATCACGGTATTTTTAACGCATATTATTGTAAATGTATGCTTAAAAAATTCCGGCGGTTTCCGAAAAATTCGCAAAATGGAGCAGCGAAGAGGAGAACGGTGTCTGCGAAGAAAATGTCGCTACAATGGCCGCGATAATTGTTAACGGATGGCACGATGTGCAGGTGTGAAATACGTCTTACGCTTTCAGTGTTAATTATTATCCCAGCGGCAATTACTTGAGAATTATCGCGATCAAGATACGCCCGCCCATCATTTCTCTGCTTACGTGCTCGCTCTCGTACACCGCTTGTAGTTGAATATTCAACTCGTTAAATGATCAGCAGGAAGTGCTCGGGAACATAGTTACATGCTGCGCGCACGCACGCCGCGCTTATATAGATCACCTTCCAGACATAGAGGCTAATATTTTCGTCGTTATTCCATTTTCGGGTGGCGTTATGTAACATTGTTTCAAGCACTGTTCACAAAGAGCAACTCCAGCTACTCCAATGATACTAATTCTGACAGACATGCTGTCGAAAGTAGAATTATTTAAAATCGGTGTTCAAACGTTTACTCGTACCGTATAATGAATAAAACGCACGAGTGGCTTTTGTATACTGTTATCGTCCAATTCAATGGAATGCATCGCGACTTTATTAAATTTACATATTTGCACAATTGATGACTTTAATACTCGCTTCAGCTCTCATCATTCCGTGTCGAACGCATCTCCAAATAATCCCTCTTGCAAACATTGACCGAAATAACAAAAGTACTCGTAACAGCCAGTCTAATATTTTTCGTTCGTTTTATCAAACGCATATGTCTAATTGCATTCATAGACTGCGCATTGCTGTGTGTGTAGAAGAGATAATGTCGGTATTGGTAAGAAAAAATAATAGAGAATATTTCTTTGTCTAATTCTCTAGCTGGTATTCTTCTTGCTGGTGAAAACAAAAGCAACACGTAAGCATCGTCTATTCCATAAATGTAACGAGAAAAAAGTGTTTGGTATTTGTAATCAGATAGTGAAGTAATTACTATATATAAATTATGGTCAAGAAAACTATTTTTTAATTAAATTTTATTATAATGTTAGTGATAATATAACGTTATTGCATGTTGCTACTAGCATTTTCGTATTAGAACAGCTAAAACATAATTATAATTTTAGTTAGATCAACTTTTCTTGTTACATATGAAGTAGACTACTGCGCATTGCTGTAGGAGAGGCGAAGTTAGCATTAGTAAGAGAGAGCGATAGAGAAAGTAAGATGTTTTCCTAATTGCCTTCTTGATAGGAAAAACGAAAGAGCAGATCACATAATCGATGCATCCTTTCTTTATTTTACTATATTTCACGCTTTTGTTTCTCTTACATTGTCCCCTCTAATATATTACGTACAATACATAGTTGTCATCTGAAACTTGTCCCATGCGAGATACTCAGATTTTTATTCAGAGTTAGATCCAAGTTTTACAGTTGAACTATAACATACATGATATTTGTAAAGGGTGTTTGACAATTAATGACAAACTCCTTATGATAGAGCTCATCAAATTGAACGAAAAGGTCCTCTACCATTTTGCAAATAACCACGTATATTTTTAGGTATTAATTAAAGAACATCGGTGCATGATTGTGCGCATAAGGTGCACCAATTTTCTTTAATCAATAACTAAAAATCTAGGTGGTCATTTTCAAAATAATAGGTAACTTTTTGTTTAATCTAATGCACAAGTACACGATAGTAGACGTCGCCGTCACAATTTATCTATCGTGATTACATTCACCAATCTCCTTTAATTAACCCTAAGTTACTAATCTATCATAAAAATTGCGGCAGTAAATCGGTGATTTCTAAAAATTATAATGTTCGCGTTGTTGAAGCGCCTCACATCTGTTTACCTTTCTATATGTTTACGTCAATATGCCACAAGGTGTCTTTTGGTGCGAAGTTATAGTGGTAACGTCATAAAAAATAGGATAGTTCAGTAATAATATTACTTTTGAGTCACGATAAGTGTACTTTTATTTTTTGTGCTTTTCGTATTTATTGCAGCGTTATTCTCGTAAAACTATTTTATATTTAAATTTTTATTTTTATTTTGTATTTAATGTTTCTATAATGTGAACTTTATAATATGAACTAATAAAAATAGAGTTAGAAGCTTTTATTAATGTTTTATTTTAAAGTAGTATTTTTTATGAATGTTTAGTGACAAACTCACACGATAATTTAGTAATTTAGAGTTAATAATTCAAAGTTTTTATGTGGTTGTAAAATAATTGAGGAATTTTATGTTCAATAAACTCTATCTACGTATAACAGGCGTGTCATTAATTGTCAGACACTCTGTATATCTGATATCTGATCGTGATTCAACTGAAGAGCTCTACCTCTGAATTCAAATCTGAGTTCTCACTTAAGACAAGTTTCATAACTATGATTGCACTTCCTAGAGTAATATGTGACAGAGAAAGCATTTGATTTATCATATCACTGTCCTTCAATCTTGTCATCAGCTATTCCGTAAGAGTGCGCAGTCTATTTTATAAGTTTATGGTCGCATCGCTGCCGTAACACAACGCATTTAATCCGTAACAAGTACCATGTGGTCCCAGGAACCCCAACTAATTTTATTTTCGTGATAATTCCTAAATTATCCATTGTATGGCGCTAATATCTTCAGTACCTTTCGAGTAACAGTTTTCAGTGTGACAGAAGAAAAGGTCATCGAGTTATTTGTAAGTAGCTGTGAATTATATGCATTTGTTTTTCGTAAGGGGTCACAGTGACTCTATTGTACTGTTAACGTTATTTTTATGAAAATAATTTTCTTAATCTTCAGCTCAATATGACTCATTCTTCACGCAAAAGAATAAAAACTCTTGTCTTTCAGTTAGTAGAACCTGAACTTAAGAAACGTCTTATAACTCAATATATTTATAAGCCATTGCGTTTAATAATTTCATCTATTTTAAAAATTGAAGAAACTGAAAGATCTAAAATTATTTTGCCATCCAGAGTAAGATGTAATAAATGTCCTAGAAGTAAACATATAAAATCCAAAGAAGTATATGTTAGATGCAATAAACCAATATGCACAAAATGTGCAAGCACTATCTGTAACGATTACATCTAAAAACCCTCTAAGATTTTAATATTGTATTTAATTTAACAATACTTGTTTATATTTTTTTATATAATCTTATTGTAGACTTAGATTAAAACATAAATTTTTTTCTTTTTCCGATTATTTGTCTTTCAGTGTATTTTATTTCAACATTGCCCACATTATGTTCATCTTATAACCAGTTAATGTTTTCTTTTAGATTACTGAAAAACTGAGACTGTTATTATATATGTCTAGTTCTAATATACAAGTAATATTCGTAAAGTATTATTTTCGAACTATAAAGCGTTTTTCTTTCTACCTTTTATTATCATGTTAAAAATGGCAAAAATTTATTGGAGTCCACCGGACCCCATTGTACCTATAGCTTGAAAAACTAAAAAGGCATAGTATCTGTTACGGGTTAACTACCGAGTTAAATGAAAAGGATAGGTGCTCCAAATGCGCCCCGACGTTGCGATATGTCAAACGTTATACGTGCGTTAAATCAACAAACAATAATCGCCTCATGATAACGCAGAGTGATCCGCGGTGACTCGACGGAGGGAAGAGGAGGAATGTGCATCTCTGCGGGGTGCAGGTGTTGAACGCGATAGGAAGGGTGCAACGGGGGTCGGGAGGATGAGCGGGCACAGGATGCGTTGCCCGGCGAATACGCGAGCGAGCGTCGACGACCTGAACCAACAAAATGTAAATTTATTTCTCGTAGCGCGGAGCAGCCTGTTAACACGGTAACACGCAATTTCTGTCGGCGCAATTAAAACGCGCTGTGACGTCGCCGCTGGCGCCGGCGGTAGCGCGTTGTGTCGGCGTCAGCTCGCGTGACCGCCCGTTCCTACGCCCGCCTCTGTCCGCTTCGCTCGCTCTTTCACCCTTTCCTGTTCTTTTTGCGAGGAACATTAAAAAAATGAGCAGCGAGACTTCCTAGCCGGGGATGGATGGTATTCCGTGGAGGGGCCGAGGCGACGAGATTGTCTCGCGAGAGAACGACGGACGAATGCCGGATGCGGAATTAAGGGCTGAGCAGCTTGGAGTTGTTAATTAAAAAAGAAGAGAGACAGAGAGAAGAAGAAGAAAAACGAAGCGTCGAAATATGAAGATGAGGTTTCTCGCAGGGCGCAGCTCGATAAGCGCGTACGTCCTCGCTGCATTTATTTAATCGAATTGAGACTTATCCGAAATTCTAAAACGGAGATTTAATAAGATTTTACGATTTCATCTAATTTCATCTAATAAGATTTTACGATTTCATCTAATTTCGTTATTGTGGCGACGAACCGTCGTCGCGTTCGAACGAAACAACGAGGACAACCAGAGTCATATTCGCTATGTTCCTAAGATATTAGATGAGTGTGACGGAATAAGGATGTGAATATTAGTTTCTCGAATCATAAAGCGGTTGTTTACGTGACAGGAAGTTGAGTTCAAGTAGTGAAGGAGAACTCCAAGCCGTTGGTAAATTGAAAAATTAATTCACGAAACTGAGGAAGCGCGGCGCAAGAACGATGCGTAAGGTTATTATTCATGTAAAACGAACATATACCACAACTTCCAGGTTAATTTCGCGCG